ATACAAGGAAATTGACAGCTCAATAAATGAATTTTTCTAAGTTTCATAAGGAAATCCAGAACAATCAATTTTACTGATTGGCAGTTTCAGTGTTAAAGACTTCGAACAACGTTAAACTCAAGAATCAGAAAAACAGTGTTTTTTCTTCTAAACGGCGAACAGTTAGCCGCATCAGAAACGAAATGTGCAAGAAACTTGTCAAGATGCCCGAGATACGTTGCACACGTTTCTATCGCGGGCATCATGTGCACGCGAGGACGCGTCTGTGGCTGGGAAACTTGTTCCATCGGGAGAAAGGTGGAAAGCTAAAAAGCCAAGTTACAAGGTTGAAACTTTGTGGTCGAAGTAAAAACCCACGTTGCGCGCGTGGCGAATATTCGTAAAACCGGAAGAGCTGGCTTGTGCGTTCCCAGAAGCTGTTTCCAGAGGAATTTCAGTGGTTGGAGCCGCGGATGTCTACGGAGTTGCATTCGAAAACAAAATTAACTGACGCGCAATACCAATTAACATTTGATGTTTCTTTGATACCAATTTCAAAGTTCAGTTTGAGATGTCTCGAAACATTTGTTTAAGTTCCAGGTTTACAGTGTTGTTTCTATTGCGTTGAAATCCGTCGAACTATTCCAGTTACGATTCTTAACTCTTTGGGGCACACAATTTTAGAGAAAAAAACAACCCAACTTACACAGAATTCACTGCATTAGACAATCCGACAACCTTAATTTTTAGGTAACCGAAAGTTTTATCTCCATTTTGATTCCTGCAACTGTATTCCAACTTTCAGAAGCAATTTCGTTGGAGAGATAATTTGCGAATGTTTATAAAAACACATCGATACACCATCGTTTAAAAGGAATCGTCAGATGTTTAAAATGTTGACAAATTTCTGGCACTAGGTGTAGTGCCTAAAAGTTATTTAGAATGTTTATTTTTCAGCGAATAGACATTAAACTTTGCACTGTACTATATATTAGACTAGCCCTTGAAGACACTTATGGGATATAAATGTATAAAGTTCTGCAGTTTAGCGACATAATTCAGCGCAGAGTTGCTTTAACACTAGAACTAGATGGGTTCGCCCATTCATAATTTCTTCCTTTTGCAATTATTAGAAAGATTACAGATATTTCTCTGAGAAATCGATAAAGAAATTGATTTCGTCAACAGTCCCAACAGTTTACTAATGCGTTTCGACTTGTATAATCTTTTATTCTCACTTATCTCACTTATCACTGTATCTTTAGTTCATAGCATTTCCAACTGGAGGAGAAGCTTTAAATAAAATATTAAACTGTATGTCTGAGTGACTTCGACTTGTAGGTTAACATGTACACCGTACATAGAAAGCTAACCAAAGGTTGGTACAGTATTTAACCCATCGAACCCCAAAGAGTTAAAGGGAAACTTTCAACATCTCTAATGCAATTTACAGTTTACAATTTGTTTAGAAGCGACATTTAGGAAATTATCATAAGAATACGATAAGACTTACGATGAGGATCGTAAGTAGAATAGCAAATTGCTGAATTTGATTAGCGAAAGGGTGAATTTGACATAGGAAAGGGTGAATTTCGAGTGCGAAACCAATAATTCAAGAGAGTTCAGTTTATCAGGTAGAATTGTTGGTTCCCCAGATGAACTGTCAGTTACACGACACTCCACATACCACCTATACATTATACATCGGATGCACACCAAGTACGTTTAGCTAGCATTTCGGAACAATAAATTGACATCCACGATTGAAACTACTTCTGAACTGAACTGCATTCCGACTAACAATAAGCTTTCAAAGCTGCAAGCTGCAGCGAGATTCGTGCCATTCGCGATACGGCCATCTAACTCCTCTGCAGTTGTTTACAAGTTCTCGAAGATCCTCCTGGAGTCGATCACTCGATGAGAACGCTCTAGCATCCCATCGTCTTTGTCGAAATATAGTGCTAATCCTAGAAAACTTAGGAAACATCGATCTGTAGTTTCATTGTTTGCAAACTGCGAGTATTTTTCGTTTTAACACATTGTATACGGAGATGTTTATATTCATACCATTTTCACGTACCATTAAGTACTAGTAAATAAATGTTACTTATTTCATTAACATTTTCTGTTGAAAGTAAAAGCTTCATTCCGTTCGCGTATAATTGCAAGCACATTTCTATTTTCAACGAATGATCCATCCATTTTGAATTCTGAATAAGTTCATTGTAATTGATGTAAGTTGACACGAGCAAAATGATATTTAACTTGTTAATTAGCAATGTTTCTTGTTGCTTATATATTTCAGTAGGTGATACTTAGTTCCAACAATTTATTGCATAAAGAATTGTTTAGTTATTTAACTCTAAGAAATGCTATATCATTAAATGATTGAGAACATCTATTTTGACAATGATTACCAAGTATTTTCTGAATTTTTATAATATTCCTCAAAATATCTCGAACTAATATATGACGTTTAATTACAGTATTTTCAGGCGAAATCTTTCAAAGCTTGATATATTTTTAAATCTTCATATCTAAAGCTTCAAGTATCTTTGAAACGTCGAAGGAAAAAAGGACGATCTCTAATATTAATCCCTCGGTGCTCTTAACTTAACTGGAAAGATATATTGCATCGTGCTGCCAGCCCCAAAGAAATAAGGAAACAGAAACTAGTCATTTTAACTGGCACGGTATTTGTAGTGTTAACCCTTTGCGGACGGAGGTTCTCTGAAATAGACAAAACCCTTAACAGATGAAGCTAAATTGTATATCAATTACTTGAACAATAGAAAAATAGGAAATTACGCACTGATCTCTTGCTATTCGAGTAATTAAGTCATTTGTTTACGACTTAGTCTTCCAAATATGAAAATTTCATCTCGTCGAAATGTCAACATTCGCCTGCAAAGGGTTGAAGTCTTTATTCTAGAAGAAAAATTCCAGAAACAATTTGGCCCGGCACTTTTGAACATTGCTGTATATCTTACGATACAGAGTTAATGGAAGCGAACTACAACTAGCGATGGATCTTGTGCTTTGTAGCCTCAAGCTAGACAATAAGCTCGAATCCTCGTAACACTGTCTTCGACCCTCCGCTCCTTGCAACCGCAGGATCACGAGAGATCAAGCATCGGATGACAATTTAAATACTCTCAATAATTCAGACAATTTCAATACAGTTCAATGAGAACTTAGAGTTTAATACTTTTTTGTATGGAACAATAATATTACTATTATGTTGAGATTCGTCTCATTGGTCACATTTCACCGACTAAATTTGGTTATATTCTTATTGAGACATTTTTGGAAATTCAGTATGTGGTATTCGGATACTTAATACGTTGAATACCATACGATTTCGTAGAACAAAATAGGGAAACTGGGAAACATATTTGATGATTAGAAGAATTGTCAATTTCATTTGACTATGTTTCCTCTAAGAAAATCGGTGAATTTTAAAACAGCATTTCATTTGACTGAGTTCGATGATGATTGGAAGGGAAGGTTAATGGATGTGGTAGGTGAACAGTTTCTATTTCCATTATTCTGATCGAGGTTTAATACACGTTATGTAGAATTGAATAGTAATGATAAAAATTGAAGAAATTGTGTATCTAAAATCTTTGAACATATGTACACGTCGAATCCACACTGTCGTATCCCTGACTCGTCGATGTTTCGTCAGACAACGCTAATTGACAAAAGTTAACACTTTACCTATCTTCTGTCACTTAATAGTCGTTTAAAAACGAAAATTGGTTAATCTATTATTTACTAGCGATACCACTAGTTACCATTATGAACCAATGAGTCCACTGAAGCAACATAATGCAACGTAACTATATTTCGTGATTCTTATTGAAAGGAAAATTATCACGTTCCTCTTCGATAATGCATAAAATCCATAATCAAATTGTAACAATTGATTTCTATGCATATTAGTAAAACATCAGTATCAGTAAAACGAATTTTGGTTGAAATTTATTTCACGTGTCACTTGAATATTTTCACTGATTCAAAATTAAACTATAAGTTACTAAACTAACAAGTTAATAACCTTCTCGTAGGTAAAGTGTTAAGAATATACTCCTCCATTGAAATACACCATCACTCGACGCGTAGAGAAAACATGGCGTACCAGTTCAAACTACTGTTACTATCTACAGGCGATATCTTTTCACGTTTCCATCGAACTGAAGGTACAAGTGCGGCAAAGGGACACAGAGCGCAGTTTAACGAAGTCGGAAAATCAGTACAATGAGAAGAAGTGAGACAGACACAGTCCTCCGAGTATCGAGGGTCAAGATATGCGACTTCAAAGCGATGCCGCGCGCGTCAAATATAAACATTCAATAAAGAAAATATCAATTTCATTAATTTTAATTTTACATTCTCGAATGTGAAGCCAGTAGATTGTTGAGATCGTTGTGATTAAAGTAAGTCCAAGCACGGTGTGAATCGGACTAGTTTCACCGACTTCGTGTAATTAACAGAATTAAAGCTTCACTTCGATGAAATCGATCAAACTAAGCCCATTTAAATCGTATATAAACTTATTCTAACCATAATAATCTCAACAATCCACTGGCACTACGAGAAAGTAAGATCGAAATTAATGAAATTCATATTTCCTTTATTGCATGTTAACATTCGACAATTCTTCTCATTATACTCATTCTCGTTTGTCAAACTGTGCATCGTGACCCCTTGCCGCCCTTCAGTTAGATGAAAATATGAAAAGATATCGTTCATAGACAGTACCATCCGTTGCAGTGAACCTGGCACTCTCGTCTGAGTGGTAAGATTCGAAGGCTCACGCCTGATTGGCTGACGCGCTCACGCCCACCAATCGGGTGGCGCGGCGAGCCATTCCCCCACTCACGATTAGATCTCTCGGAGCAACTGTCTCCGCCCTGTGACGTTACGAGTGCCAGGTTCCAAGCAACTGACGATACGTCAGATCAGACACATTTACAGTATAATAGAGAATGAAAAGATGAGAAATCAGGTTAACTCACCGCGTTCCTGTGTGGCCATTCGATCGTCTGCCACTGCTTTCCTCGTCCTCGTCGTCTTCGTCGTCCCTCGAGGTCGCCAATGAGTGGGGAACAGAAGAGGGAGCACTGCTACCGGAATCGGGCCCTGGGCCCATCCTCGAACCGGAAGCACCGCTGTAGCCCGCCGAAGACGCCGACAGACCACCCCCTCCCTGGCCCTCCTCGTTCTCCGCGCGATCCACCTGGAACCAGCAGTAACAGAACTTCGTTAGAAGTATCTAGAATACTAAAACTACCTAGCAGTTAGACTGACTTTTCGAAATTTCTCTACAGAAACTGAAAGATTTTCTTCGAACTGTGGACGATGAAGAAATACTATTAAGGTCACCTAATAAACTTTTTATAACAAAAATCAAGGGTGCATCTATTGAGACATTAATTGATTTCCGATTCAGTTTACGTATTGCTAAATCAATTTCTTTAATAATTTCCTAGGGAAAAGTCTATTATATATTTAACAATTACAAAAGGAAGACACCTTTTAACACTAAAACTATCGAGCAGTTAAATTGACTTCGAAATTCCTACATAGAAACTGTAAATGTGCATCTATTGAAACTTTAATCGATTTGCAATTCAATTTACGTGTTGCTAAATCAATGTCTTCAATCATTTCTGAAATAAACATCTGTTATCTTTTTAATAATTGCGACAAGAGATCAGGAATGAGTCATTTCGGCTCGTCTGGTAGTTTTAGTGTTAATGAGGTTCGACATTGTCCTTTATAAGTTTAGAAGACTTGGAATAAATTAATAATAATGAGAATATAGGTAGTTGTATTTCATATTTATAAATTAAAGTTGACCTTGATACCTCTATAAATAATAATCTTAACTATTTCAGTGACAAGCGTTCTCCGGTTACACTACCTAAAAGTGGCAACCTATCACTCCGTAGAACAGAATAAAATTTCCTCATCTATTTTACTTCTAATCATTTATTTTCATTTCTGTTATTACCAGCTTGCAAATGAAAAAAACGAAACGTTCGCACTATTTACAATGTTTTCGTATAAAAATATGAAAGCGTCATTCAGTTTCTGAATTGAAACGGAAGCTTCCGACCGGGTTCTCGCAAAAACCAGTATCACTCGAGCGATTAAAAAGCGATTCAGATATTTTCAATGTGTAACGAGCATTGCGTGAACAAAACTGAACTATTATTCATCTTTCTCTTACATTTCAGGTGTAATTTCGAAAATAAAACAGCAAAATGCCGTTTACTATGTGCAATAATATTTTCGCCGGCACTGGGAACGCTCCATAGTATTCCAGGCAATTTAACATCGCGGAGTTCTATGTTCAATTACGGCACAGAAGGTTATTTTACGCATCGACTGAACCGAATGAGTACATCTACTATTGCGGGGAGACCTTTTTTCGTTTTCCTTCCCACGGTGATACGACGCCACTCTTTCAACCGTACTTTAAAAGTGGCAAAATTGAATTTAGAAATCTAGGAATGTGTTCGAATTTCATTGCTCAAGGTTCTCACTGTCTACCTTCGTATTCCAGATAGCTAAATAAAAACGTATTGCCGATAAAAAGGTTGACAATCAACGATAAGTACTTCTCTTAAAAAAAGATTTTCAACAGTTAACACTGTTTCTAGCGAAAGTGTCGAAAGACTCAATTATTTGCGAAGTGATGGGAGTTACAGTATATAATTTATCATACATACATTATAGTTTATTAACATACGATATTCATTAATGGAACGTATTTGTGATTGAAATATTTCATTCGTGGAGATATTAATCCATAACACATTAATTACACCTTGAGCTAGACAAATGTTAAACTAGTTGAACTGTTTCAAGATCTTATAAAATTCCATCAAGAGTTATTTGGCTGCACATTTCTCGAGGAAAGAAACATCCTCGTATTTCCGGTGAAGTAGCCCATAAAATACTTTCCAGCGAAATATGTTTCACATATAGTTACAGGGAAGAAACGTCCTCGTATAGCAGAAAAATTAACTCCTTGTCTATTTCTGAAGTAAACTATAATTAGAAGTTCGATCGTCGATTAACGTAGAGCATCGAGAATAATCAGCATTTATCGTAAACAAGTTCAAATAGCATCGTCATTTTATTTTAACGAGAATCCACGTCAATATAGAAGCGCAAAGTGACTTTTTTCATCGATTTAACATCGGCGATTAATCTGGCGCGTGAGATACGCGTGAAACATGTGACAATTTGCAGAACAAAGGGGCCACTTGTAGTGCAGAAGCGATTCGGGTTGTTGCACGACAGAAAAATCGCTTGCAAATTGTGAATTAGATAAATAAAGAAGTAATACGTATTGGATGAATGTGGGGAATAGTTTATTTGAATATTTTGCAAGCATAATAAGTGGGTTTTACGAAAATAATGTACAAGTTTTGGGAGAAAGTGAAAAATTAGCTGTTAAATACAATGCGAATTACATCAATGATTTAATTACTTTATACAGGAATGCAAACTACGTCAATAATTTAATTACTTTATACAGGAAACAGAGCTAATAATGTAATTGAAATGATTAAATATATTTATTCTGTTTATTACTTTACACTGTGTACGTGATAATAATAAAAAAGCAGCGCCGGTAAGTTAACTATTAGTATTACGGTATCAGGTACATTACAAGTGAGATTAAATCAATTCATTCTATTACACAATTAATTCGCTAATCCATTTAGTGGCCAATCTCTGTTCGATCAAAGATATGAGAAGCTAATTGTGCGGTAGGAGATTAAATTAAATTAATCGGTTTCACGGGACAACCGCCGGGATTTCTACAATTAATATCTGATATATTAATTATATGCTTCGTACTGAATCAGTTATGAAATGAACGTTTTGCCTCTCGACTATAAATTAATGTCATGCATCTATTGAATAAATTTCAATTGATTCTTACGGCTCTCGAGTTTCTAACGAAAGTTTCAAGCGAGAAAGTAAAATTCCAAAACTAGAATAAAAGTAAAAGAAACGTTTAAAGTTAAATCGAGTTGAAAATATAAACTGTATTCTAATCGTATTATTATATGTAATAAAAACAAATATCACACTGAAAAATGAAAGTTACTTAACATAAAAGACCATCTTTTAAGAATTATTCTTCTCGCGTCATAAACTTAAGGTGTCTGATTAATTTCATCAGAAAAGCTTCGAGATATTCCGTTAATTATTTTCTAACGAACGGTCTTTTCCTTGAATATCTTTCTCATTGCGAAGCAAGAATAATTCAATTGTTTCCTCGGGAAAAAACTCAGATTAAGAATAAATTACAATCGTTCCGATTCGTTGAAAAATCGTCACGCTTAAAAGTCGTTCGCAAACTTCCCGAGTGTCTCATTAAATCCGCCATTTAATGCGGACGACTATTTCGTCGAATCTTTAAGGAAAGTGAATACAAACAGAAGCAAAAAGTGTACTTAAGTAAAAGCGTTCGGAGGCCAGAGTACTCGAAACTCGATATGCTAAATTCACATGCTACAACGTGAATCGAAACAAATTCTCAACGTATATATTTGTTCTAAAAACTACATGATAATTAAAATCTTCAAATAATCATTGTTTAACACTAAAGCTGCCAAACGGGTCAAAATGACCCATTCTTGATTTTTTCTTTTTGTGATTATTAAAAAGATAATAGATGCTTTTCTGAGAAATGATTGAGGAATTTGATTTAGCAATACCCAAACTGAATTGTAAATTAGACAGTCACGATAGATGCGCTCTTGGAATTTCTATAGAGGAATTTCAATAAGTCGATTTCAGTGTTAATTCAATGGACTGTAATTCGATTTGGTTGGTGATCACCAATAACCCTCATAGCATTCAACGTGTTAAAAACAGTTCGTGTAAAACTAGAAATAAACAACACCAGTGAAACTAATAGATTACAAAATAATGCTTTCAAGCTGGTTAGAGTGTTTCAGTTGGATCGTAACCTAATGAAACTAATAGATTACAAAATAACGCTTTCAAGCTGGTTAGAGTGTTTCAATTTGATCGTAACTTTTCAACATTCTTCTACGCTTTTTACGCGTCGAAGGTTCTCCTTTTGAGATCAGGCTAAGATCTTCGCTCCCTGGGGCTCTGGAGATGACGTAACGTATCGATAAGTTACTCTGCGTCTTCTTTTTTGCTGCCTGCAAACTCGGCCTCTGAATTCGCCCCCTCGCCGTAAAACGGCAACTCAATTTACCTTAATATCATCTAGATTGTAATTTAACTAATACTACTATGTATAATATTATTTTTACATCAGTCGGTAATTATGGCAGTATCTTAATACAAATCTTTTTATAACAGCAGATTTATTTGATGATTTTATGTGTAAAATCAGGTATATAAAATCTTATCGTTCCGGATCTTTTGCAACACGAGTGTCTCTATGAAGTTCCATTAATCTTCTCTTCTAAAGTTTTAATCTTTTACACAGTTCGATCAATTTTTCTTTTATTCTGAGATTTTGTAATGACTTTCTTTAAAACTATACAAAGTGTTGGAAGTATTAGGTAGTAACATGAAACGTTCGATTTCGGTTGATCGGTACTTTAATTTCTGTTTTAACAAAGAACATTGAAATTTGTTGACATATTTCGTATCTTGATGAAAAATATTAATTACTAAAGAATTCGTGTTCGTTTCAAGTTAATCATTTAAACCGGACATTCTACATGTTGTACCCTAATAATTTATAATTGAACCACCCAGTTCGAAATGAAATTTTACATGTACGGACCACGAATGCCACCTAAAATTTTATTGTCAATAAGAAGAAGAAAAACATTTTTTCATCCACTTTGCATTTTCATTCGTATGCAAATTCTAGGCTTCAGAACTGCCTGTCGCGAGACACCGCATATTTGCCTAGAAAGAATTCCATTTTTTTCTGCACGAACCTTGATTTATTAAATAAGATTTTTAACGTGTTTGTTACTTGCATCTTTTTTTTCAACTGTTCCCTTGCGACACGAACAATCGTGAGTTTGAAAATTGAAGTATTTGGATTATCTTAACTTTTAAATTTGGAATACTTATTTTTATATTCTACTCTTCGCTTTTATCAAGATCAATATCTACAGAGTTCTTTAAGTAGTTTCCTAACTTGGTTACTGTACTTTGTGTAACGCGTAAAAGCGAGTTGCACCATAAAATTTCTATTAACCCTCATCGAAAAATTCC